TCTGATCTTGGTCTTGTCTTGGTCTCGGGTTAGGTGGTCTTCACCACAACACTGCTTTTGGGTACTGCTCTGATTGTGTTTCTCTTAAAACTCTATTTTTCCACACTTCAAATGTTGTGTCTGCTTACAAATAATTTGTGAAATTTGATGCAAATAAAGCTGCTTTAATCAGGTTGTATTTTGCAATATTTTTTTCACTAACCAAAAGTAGACTTAATGGAATCCTGGTAATTAGATTTAGTCAGTAACAGCTTGTGAACTATTACATTTTCCTTTTTTTTTTTATGTGAATAGATGCTTCCTTTAGCCTTGAATTTGAGTGTCACTCTTAACTTTAAAATAGTTCCCATTCTCTGTGTTGACTTCATCAATTAACAATATTGCCAAGGGTATTAAATCAAGCCTTTATAATCAGACAATCTGCCTTTGCTAATAAGGAAAAACCACATTTCCTGTTAAATCTTAGACAGAGAAACCTTTGTTTGAAACTCTAAACTAAACAAATAACTTTGGTCAAATGTTCTCTTCATCACACGCAAACACACCTAACAGCTGTGTGCTTGTGTCCAAGGAGGACTCATAGAAGGTCTTTGTGCTGTGGGTCTGCTACATGGCATAGAGGAGAGCACAGTGTTTGTGTGGGTGTTTTGGTAGTTTGTGGTTCAAGGGGAATTAATGAGTGGAGGCATACAGGAGCTTGTCTAAACAGTCTGCAAATGTCATGACATGCATGAAAGTATCAAATTGAGAAGATGTATTTCTGATTAACGAAACCTTAAAAAAGAGAGATAAATATTATAAATATTATATAAGATGTGTGCGTACACTTTTTTTTTCTTTGGGTCTGCTCTTTGGTGCGTACCCTATGATTAATAGAAACCGAAACATTGTAGCACCTAACCCACTGCCACATACACAACACCAACAATAAACACGGTTATGACTGTTTTGTCACAAATTCACTATGACACACACACCAACACACAGAACAATAATATATGGACTGGCCTCCCACATACACACACACACCAACACACACTCCAACGTAAGGATCCAACACCACTTACACTTACTTCTCAACTAAAGCTGTATATAATATGTAAATCTTTGATCTGCTATTATCTGTCATTATTTATCCTGTATTATAACCCCACTAATATATATAGGTAATACATATCCTAACTTTCCTGTATAATCTATATATAGGTTTTTGATATTTAACTACTTATAGCCCCTTACAATTACTCTCCGTTTATATATACCATTTATAGTCCATACAGACATAGTCTCTGTACACATGTAAATAAATATCTATTTCCTGTATAGCACTTCTGGACTGATTCAAACTACATTTTATTGCTTTGTACCTGTGACAGTGTAATGACAATAAAGTTGAATTCTATTTTATCCTTTTAGATTTCATGTTAAAAACTATGATAATACAAACATGCATAACTTTTATAAACAACAGCAGCGACAAAAGTATAATTGAAATCCTGTTACAGTAGGTCAAAGGTCAGGACCACGCTTCCCTAATGTAGGAAGAGGTCAGTGTTGCTCTTTAGAAAAACTGCAGAAATATTGATGCATTTAAAAAGTTCCTACTTGCAAATAGAGAACACTATCATCTCTTTACCAAAAAAATCTGTTAAAATCAATACTCTATTTTTGTTATCAGATACAATGCAAGGGATTTGCTACATTTTCTGCTGCACACTTCCTTTCCCCAAGTGGATTAAGAGGCTGTGTTATGTGGATAGAAGTAACTAGAAGGGAGTTAGGGGAAATGAGGCTGGCAGAAGGGAACCAGAGAGAGTAACTCAAAAAATACAACACTGCTTAAATGTAAATGGAAAACAACTAGAATGACACATAATGGAAAAGAAACTAATGACCAAGAAAAAACAATGACATAAATCAAAGTGTAACAAAAAGAAACTTAAAAAAAACCCCAAAAAGTCCACAAAGGGCAGAATCATGAAAACTTCCTCTTTTCACTATACATTTTACTATGCAGTACTTCATAGTTATTTCAGCTTGTTAACAATCCTTAGAAAGCCATTTGCTTTGCCAGGTGTTGGGAAAAATACTAGTATTTATATAATTTCTGTTTTTTTAAGTGAGCTGCCATTTAAATGCATTCTTCCTAATTGTTTATTTTAATTTTTTATTCATAATTGTTGATTGTTTTTTTCATATATGTATATATATATGTATATATATATATATATAACATTAAACTGTGATACTGAGAGGCTCTGTATTTGCAGTTATGATATTCAATTACTTGCATATGACAATGAATTACAAGCCTGACTGATTGTATATGTCTTCTAAAACATATACGGCATGACTGAAATGTACTTGCTTGAAGCACATTGCACTGAAATATACACCTAAGAGGATGAGAAATCACATTTGAATATCAAACAAACATCTATTACGCAAAAGTGTTCTTGACTGCAACACAATTTTCCCTGCAGCATTTTTGCAAACAATATCTCACTACTAAACTGAAAAGTTTAAGAGCTAAAAAGCTCTTATCACTAATCAGTTTCTGGTCTTAATCAGTGTTCATCGTAATCATTCATTTTGGAACCAGCAAAATGTGGCCCTGTGGTCATACCGAGTTCACAACAAATCTCTTTTGAGTAGTGTCTGTTTAGCTTAACATGCAGCTATCCTGTCCTAAGGGGATATAACTAATGTTGCACAGATACCAATTCCAGTATCCTTCGGGGCCTCGATGCTGCATTAAAATGGCGGTATCGGCGACTACCAACAAACAGGGCACCGATACCATTTTGAGAGCCAAAAGTTTATTCAACTATTGTCACCCACTCTACTGGATTCACTTTGTATTAGTCTTTTTCCTGCTTAACAAAGGTAGGCAGCAGCTTGACAAAGCCATGATAACAATTATTTTACATCCAGGTAGTATGCAGTTCTTCATATATACACACACACATCAATTTCAAACAGATGGTATCGGTATTGGCCAATACTGCACAGCCAGGTTAGCCTGACGTAGTCCTACTCAATTCTAGTCAGAATATGAGTCTGATACTGCTCCATAGAGCTGTGATTATGGGGCGTGTTTCGAACGAACCAGCAAAAAAAATGCCTCTGCACTCAATTGGATAGACCTACAACCAATAAGAGCAACGGAGTGCGTGACGTATTTTTAGCAAGCATTAATGTACACACCTCAACTCTCCAGCGGCAGCCATTGTTGTTGTCACCCAAGCATGCTTTGGTGACGTGGTTGATTACGTTACTGTTGATATTCTGTCGATGACAATTTGATTGGCCCACCAGATATTGTGCGAGCATACTCGCGCTACTACTGAGCAATGCCAGACCGAACTTCCCGACCTCAAACGTTGTGGGCGGGACTGAGTTCGGATTGGCACCCAGGCTACAGCCAGGTATCAGTATCGGGGCCAAAAAATGGCATTGACATAACACTGGATACAGCACAAAATAATCAAACACAAAGCTCAATTTAATATTGTAAATTAATAAGATATTGACAATTTGCATAACTTTTAAAACTAATATATCAGGAGTACAGATTAATTGATTCAGTTTTATGTTCTTGCTAAGATGCAATTTTATTGTTAATATTCTGTTACTCTTAGACACTATTTTATTTTACACCCATTACTGCTTGTTTAACCTTACCAAACATTTAGAGTGAACAGTGCTGAAGAGCAGTCAATGAGTAGAGCAGATTATGATGTTAAATTATGGTAGTAGGGTGAGGGACAAATCTATCCTAAAGCAGCGAGGGCAGTCGCAGTCGTTAACCTGTGGTCAGACACAAACATCCC